AAAACAAAAACAACTTGTCAAATCGGCGGAGATCCCAGAGCGTTCAGCTGGTGGAGCGACGACACACTGGAGGACATGCATGAGTACCCATGTGGGGGGGGGTAGTAATATAATGAATTTGTAATGATGTTTAATGTAGTTTAAGTTTCGGGTAAACTCTTGAAAAACTCACAAGCTCTATTAAGGATTTTGTGGAGATTGTAAATAATAATATATTTCTTTTTTACTTTTTTGTTGTATAGATTACTACTAGTTCCTGAAAGTTTCTCTTTTTTGTGGCTTTGTCAGTGAGTGGAGATAAGGAAAAAGTGATCAATCTATATATTTCGGACCCGGTTTGTGACACTCACACTATGACGCAGAGATTCTTTTAACCACATAGCACAGACCTCTATTCAGTTCAGTATTCTCATATTGTAGGCCATTTTCATTGGTCTTAGTGTTAATGGAGTAAACACATGTGTGACTGCTGCATGTCCTATAAAATTAGTTTTATATAATCATCCCGTAATCTTACATTTAGATATAATTTCTGAACATGGACAATCTGTTCTTTTAAATACAGGGTGGCATAACCAAATGCAAACTAAAGTGTTACAAATACACCCACTATTCTCATTCTGGTGAGGTCCTTTGGAATTGAGAGGAATGAAATTTCTCCTTCCTTTTTTCATCAAAACAGCATCCCCATGCCAGGCGTTTGAGCCATGGTAAATCTCCTGAATTCTGCAAATTACGAATCAGAGGAATGGGAAACACTGCTTGTAAACATCGATTTTCAAACAGAAATTGGCATCAAGTTATATGTACATGTACTATCGGTTTATCTCTGCTCAAGCAAAATTACTGGAATACTAGCATTCACATGCAATACAAATAAAACATGCTACAAATGAAGTGAATCTTAATATTCTACAGCTGAATTAAGAGTTCAACTTCAGAAGTTTCAGACCTCATTCAGCCACTGTTTTTCCCTTTTTTCATCCAAATATTTCCCGTCCCACCATTTCTTCAGGATAATTAAGCCCCCTAGTCATCACAACGCTTAAGTACAAACATTCTCTGGCATTTCAGGAAGTGGGTGAAGAATCACTGTAAACTGAGGTAGAAGTTTTGTTCGTTTCGAACCACCTTACAAATTACACATGCAGATGTGTAACCAGTCTTCCTTCCTCCATGGTATAACTAACAGCAACACCACATGGAT